CAGTGAGGGTGGTGAAACCCTGGCAGGGGTTGCCCCGAGAGGGGGTGGAGGCCCCATCCCTGGGACCATTCCAGGCCAGGTTGGCTGGGGCTGTGAGCAACCTGATGTGGTTCAAGGTGTCCCTGCTCCTGCAGGGGGGTTGGGCTGGGTGACCTCTGGGGGTCCCTTCCCACCCAAACCATTCTGTGATTCTAAGAGTGAACCAGAACTAACCACAGCTCGCGAAGGAGGATCTGGGTTTTTCAGCTGGTTTCAGGTGCTCCTCCTCCTCCTTCAGCCTGTTTTTTCCCAGCTTTTGTCTGCAGTCGCCGGCATCGGTTTTTCAGGCAGATTCCGCGGGCCGGGTCTCTCTCAGGAGGCAAAGCATTAAAGCCAAGAAAAGCGTGGTCGTGAAGTGACAGAAACAGGCGAGCGCGCGTTTAAAGGCAGGTGGCAAACTGACGGTCTCCGACATTTATTGGTTGTCAGGAACTTTGCTGGTTAAGAGAGGAACGTTAAGCTTGAGAGCGTCTCCCGACATTCGTGCTGCCTGCCGCTTCCCCGACACACACCGAGAACTAACAACCAGCCGCGGCTGATTAGTGTTGTTTCTTTTAATATCGGTATTACTGCCGTCTTGGTGGGAGAACGGGGCTACCGTGCGCTCGGGACACTTCTCGCAATCGTGTGACGTCGCTGGGCCACCCTTTAGAGCGGAACCCGCTCCTATGGGAAGAGCTGATTTGAACCAAACGGGGCAGAAGGCGCCGCCGGGGCGTACATCACCTCACTGAACGCTGCCGAAAACCCAGGTGGGATGAAAAGGGCTTGGATGATTCAGCTGCAACCCCGTTAACGAGAGCTGGGCTTATAACTGAGATTTGCCCTTAGACATAAAGGTCTCTCCCCGATTTCAGCAGCGTCTGTACTGGTTCCACCTCCAGCAGAGACCAGAGCACCAGCCAGGCTCTGCGTGGGCTGACGCACAGACGTGGGGATGAAGGCAAGAGCCAAGCTTAGCAAGTCCCAGGTGAAAAGGCAGCTGCCACAGTTGGGCAGGAACAACGCTACTGGGATTTGTTACTGGAGGTGTATCCTCGCCCCTCAGACACACAGCTAACTGGGATTTGTTACTGGGATTTGCTACTGGAGGTGTATCCTCACCCCTCAGACACACAGCTAACTGGGATTTCTTACTGGGATTTGGTAGTTGGAGGTGTATTTCTCGCCTCTTGGACACACAGCTAACTGGGATTTGTTACGGGAGGTGTATCCTTGCCCCTCAGACACACAGCTAACTGGGATTTCTTACTGGGATTTGTTACGGGAGGTGTATCCTCGCCTCTCAGACACACAGCTAACTGGGATTTGTTACTGGGATTTGTTACTGGGATTTGTTACTGGGATTTGTTACTGGGATTTGTTACTGGGATTTGTTACTGGGATTTGTTACTGGGATTTGTTACTGGGATTTGTTACTGGGATTTGTTACTGGGATTTGTTACTGGGATTTGTTACTGGGATTTGTTACTGGGATTTGTTACTGGGATTTGTTACTGGGATTTGTTACTGGGATTTGTTACTGGGATTTGTTACTGGGATTTGTTACTGGGATTTGTTACTGGGATTTGTTACTGGGATTTGTTACTGGGATTTGTTACTGGGATTTGTTACTGGGATTTGTTACTGGGATTTGTTACTGGGATTTGTTACTGGGATTTGTTACGGGAGGTGTATCCTCGCCTCTCAGACACACAGCTAACTGGGATTTGTTACTGGAGGTGTATCCTTGCCCCTCAGACACACAGCTAACTGGGATTTCTTACTGGGATTTGGTAGTTGGAGGTGTATCTCTCGCCTCTCGGACACACAGCTAACTGGGATTTGTTACTGGGACTTGGTAGTTGGAGGTGTATCTCTCGCCTCTCAGACATACAGCTAACTGGGATGAGCACCATGCGCGGGCTGGCATTGGGAGGCAAATCTCAAGTACTGAGACCAGCAGAGTGAAGTCAAACAATCCCTTCATTCCTCCTCCCCAAAGAGCAGCCTCTTGCTTCATCACTCGATTGCAAGTTTTCATCTGGTAAAAAACACAGACCATAGCTTAAGATTTTGATCCAGCAAGAGTGTGCAAAGAATCGTCCTTGCCCTTCCCAAACAGGATAAGCAGGATTTAAACTTACAAAGTGTTAGCGAACCATTACTTCTTATTCAATATGAACATGCCAGTCAGGTTTGAACTGGATCAAAAGCCAGTACAAGCTTTTTTTTTTTCCTTCCCCACCTCACATCCAGGTGTAGCTCAATCACATTCAGTTCTCATCTCGGCTGCCGGCAGCACAGCAATCTGACACTTCCAAACTCTGCATTTGTTTGTGCTTAAACTAAAGGTGGGAAAGCGGCAGCAGCCACCCTGAACATGCAGCATGGACACTCACAATGAACAAGGCCACAGAACAACCACTCAGTTCCCCCCCCCAAATCAGAATAAGCTTCCCTAAAATAAAAAAAAAATTAAATAGCAACGGATTAAAAACATAGGTTAGGTGTCAAAATTGCCATCAGCTAATTACAAACAGCCAACTCAACTCCTAACTTGCCTATCAGCCAGCTTGCTGTTTGTAGGATGAGAGATAGGAAACATTTTCCAAGAACATACAAAAAAGGTATGTACAGATCTATTCAAAACGCAGTAAATAAGGTCTGCAGTGGTTCCAGGTTACTCTTGTCTCAGATTTTCTCAAAATAAATGTGGGTGACTGGAGAAATTTACTTGTCTATTCTTCCAGCTTCCCACAGTACAACTGCAATCAGCACCCAACCCACCAGAGGGCTCTGCTGCAGTCTGTTAGACTCCCCTCCTCGGAAGTTTGGCAAAGATTAAAATAATTTAAAGAATAAACTGGCTTTTTGCTTCAGCCAGTAAGTCTTTAATTTAAAAAAAAAAAAAAAAAAAGTGATTTAAGAACTTGCCAGGATGGTTTCGCACACCTGGCTGCTCCTGAATGAACTGTCACAGGCAAACAGCATTGCCAAAGGTCACGTTTTGATGGTTTGAAGCAGGAACAGCAGAGCACTGCGTTACAACCAAATCTAAAGAGGTGACTTGCAGTTGCTCTTGCTTCTGCCTTGTACTGTGAAACCAGTGAGAGACAAAGGAAACAGCAGCTGCCTCTCCTCCCGAGCTTTCAACCGTGATGGTCCAGATCCAGAGGGTTCAAAAGAAGGTTTTTCTTCCACCAGCTGCCTCTACCAGTGTCTCGAATCCACCAGCTCCGGGCGGAGGCTCAGCTTCTTCAGAGTTTCATACCCCACCACGATGACGATGGTGGAGGGAGTGGCTGAGATGATGCGGGCAGAGAGGCCTTTGGTCAGGCCCCAGGGACCTTCCTCTGCCATGAGCTGTCTGAAGGTGAGGATGATGGAGCTCTTGCCTTCCACCTGCAAAGCCAGAACAAATATTCACAGAGCTGCCAGACTTCACGCTGAGCTGCTCTGGGTTCTGCTCCAACTGAAGACTCTAGAGACTACAGATCAGCCAGTCCAACAACCTCCAGAATTCCCTGAGCAGGGGGGAAAAATAAAAGCAAGTCCTAAAGAGGCAGCAGTAAGCGGGATTCTTAAGACCTGTCTCCTCCTTCCTCCCATCTGCCCCCACCTAGAAGGGGCTGGATCAACACGACAGCTCGAGTCTCACTAAAACTGACACCGCTAGAAGCACCTCGCCCTTTCTGAAGGATGCCACATCTGCTGGGGAACCTCATTTGAGCAGTCCAGGTAAGCGAAGCCAGCCTTGCTACCCGAGCTGCCTCCCTATTAATGCCGAGTGCAAATTAAGCAGCGCGATATCTAGGATGAAACAACCTACAGAAAGAGAGAGAGAAGGGGAGACGTTTACCTGAAGCCACAGAGATCAAAGAGCTGAGGCTGAACCCCACCCCTGCGTCACGCTGCTGTTGCAGACAGACATGCCAAGCAGGCTGAGCTCTTACCTGAACCCGAGCCCTGATGACATCCATGGGGTTGGTGAGCGTGGAAGCTGTGGCAGCTGCGAGTGGCCCCGATATAGCTTGCAGGAGGAGGTGGGGACAGTCTTTAGGAGTCAAGCTAGAAAGCTGTTCTGGGAACGGGAGAGAGAGAAAGTTTCAGATCAGTGCCTGCTTATCAGTTCCTCAACTCCACCTGCTAATTTAGACTGATTTGCAGTGGGCAGAATCCCTGATTTATAACCTGTCACCTCCTCCCACAGCTTGCCTAAGTGGTGCTTTCTACATCAACCAGAAAGTCAGCAAAGCACAGGGAGCAAGCCCGTAAACACCCCGGCGGCTCAGCGCTCCATCATACAGCCTCTGATCATCTCAAACCCACGTTCTCAGACCTGTTGGGCAAACAGGGCAAACTAAGCTTGTATGTCCCCAAAACAGAGCACGGAAACATTCACACCCCCCTTTAAAAGTCAGGGGGGAACCTTTAGACAACGCTATCAGAAGTTGTCTGCAGAGATTCGTGGGCAGATCCAGAAAGCTGTCGCTACCACCGAGCACGTTGTCCCAGAGATATCTGTGTGGTAACCCGCCGCGGGATCTGTAAGGAGAAAAGCGCTACGTACTGCTCATCCCAGGGATTTCCTCACTCTGCTCCTACTACCTGGCAGATGGAATGTGAATCTCCCACACTTTTATTGGTTAAAGTTGTACAGAAGACAGTCCAAAAGTCCCAGTTTCTTTGGATGGTGGTTGTGTCTATCTGGCACGAATCGCTGATCTGAATCACTGCCAGCAGCGTACTTTGAGCCCTGAGGAAGGTTCAGTGACCCCTGCTGCTGCCGGCTGAGACCGGCGTGCTATCCAGGGCCAGCAGACTAGAAAAGGCAGCCGAAGGAGAGATGTACTGACAGTTGGGGCTTACGCTTAGCATCACCTTGATTTCCACTGCAGAAGACTAGGACGGAGGGCAAAGCACCTGAAAAGAGGCAAGCTCCGTTCTCTCCGCATCAACCTGCTTGTTCTCAGACCTTTTGAACCTTTTTGGTGTGAAAGTCTTACAATTAACACTGTGGATTTTGGTATTAAAAAAACCTGTTGACACTGAGAGCGAAGGGAGTGCTCCCCAAAAGTTCAGACTGGACCAACGTCCCAAGCTGCTGTTGCCATTTAAACGCAGCACTGAGGCGTAACCAATGCTCCCCCACTGCTACCAGAACGCATCCACTCTGAAAACTAGAGATTCAAGGCACCTGTATTTTTAAAAGCAGGTCATTTCCAAGACAGTTTTTAGGCCTAGTACAGTGAAATCTAAGCCTCTCATTGCCATCACTTTTAGGCAGATTGCTATTAGGTACATATTAGTCTAAAAACCACATGCAAAGCTGCATGACAGAAATCTAAAGGATTATCGGGGACGGGGGGGAAGTCAATCCTAGCTGGCCAGTATCTTTAGTATCTGGGAACACCTTGAGGATTACCAGAGCTGAGCTAGGGAGAGAGAAAATATTAAGTGTAGTTTTATGTGATAAGGCTTGCTGCCAGTTTTAAAGCTACGGAAACTGAAACACGATCCTAAGACACAAAACCACAGAAGATTTGGCCTTTGCCTCTGCCTGTTGTTTGGTTTTGCTACGAGATTTGTGGCTCTAGAAGCCTTTTTGCTGTGTATGAGACTCCCGAGTCCATGTGAACTGAAAGACGAACTACACTTACACAGCGGCTTCAAAACCCTGCCCGATGCCAAACAGCCTTCCTGAAAGTATGCATTATTTGGGATTAGCAGAAGAGAAAATTAAAGTAGACGCATCAAGTTCCTCTTGCCTAGAGCCACCTAAAGTCCTCTAGCACTCAGACCCCCATTCTGCATTTAAAACAACGCTGCTCTGTTAAACTGCCACCCATCAGAATTCGTTTAAAAACAGCTATTTGTTTCAAGACTGGTTCTGCTCCCACCCCAAATCAAAGAGACAAAGCAAATCAGGCTGGGTCCACAGTTTCAGAGTCAATCTGAGGGGCTTCTAGGTCTCCTGGGATCAGACACATTCAAAGTCTCCTTTCACTTACCGGCATAGAAGTGGTAGAAGGGCCACCAGACCGCACTGTTGGGAATATAGGTGAGCAGCGAGGCCACGTAGCCCCTGTAGAAGCCTCTAAAGCCGTCGGCCTTGAAAATCTGTACAATGATGTCCTTGGTTTGGCCAAAGACCAACATCCGCTTGCCACCTTGGTTCTGCACCTTAAACCTGCCCATGCTTTCCCCCTTCCTCTGCATCATGAGGTGCTGGGAGATGACATCGATGGGCACCGTGATGCTCTGGGCCACCAAGGAGGCTGAGCCACCGGCCACCAAAGACTTCACAGCATTGTTGTTGTTGTACCGTGACACGTACTTTCGAGTGAGCTCATACGTTGTTACATAGCACTGTCCAGAGATCAGGGTGAAAGTGTTGACCAAAAAGCCACGGTAGAGCCCAGCCGTCCCTTCTGTCCGCAGGATTTTCACAAAAGCATCAAAAGTCCCGTTGTATAGGCTCTTGCCCTTCTGAACCTGCAACCGTGTCCGGATGAGTGTGAAAGGGTAAACGCTCACCCGAATCATCATAGTCATGCAAATCCCAAACACGTAGAATTTCCTTTTGTCCAGGTGCTCCCACTCAATGATGGGGATGTTGCGTTTGTCCTCCATGGCTCCCGGGAGCGGGGTAGGAGAGGTGGTACGCCCCAGATCTACCTCAAAAGTACAGAGGAGATGGAGGCTCAGCCCTCCTGTCTTGACTGGCTAGACTGGAAGTGCTGGCATCTGAAAAGAGAGGCGCTTTCAGTAGATGACGAAGCACCCAAGTTCGCTAAAGCAGCCCACGTCACCTAACTTTGCTGGTTTTCCTGAGATACACAGAGAGCCCTTGCATAAATCCTTCTGCTGGCAGAGCGGTGGGACTGTGACCTCAGGAAGCAGGGCCGTATCACGTGGCTGATGGCAGCACCTTCTGATGTCACCGTTAAGTATTTGTTAAACTCACACACGGCAGTTCTCACTATGGTCCAGACTATTCTGCAAAGCAAAGCTTGCCGGACTTTGCAAAGCAGTTTGAGATCCGCAGAGGAAGAGCACCACTCCAGCAGCAAGCACTACCTTTTAACGAACAGGCAGGAATATGGATTGTCAACCAAAGCAGCTTCTCCCCAGCCATTCCGGATTTGTGATGCTCCTACATGTCAGGATGTCACTTTTCAGTGCCAGGCTCTGTACAAAGAAGGAAGTGACAAGTGTCTGATTGTGTTCCCAGATTCCCCGCACAAATTAGACACGTTTTTCTCAGCATTTCATCTCCTAAAGCTGGAGGGTGACGCGAGCCCGGGAAGGGGGAAGAGAAGGCCATGAAAAGAAGAGCAACAATGGGAGAACCAGGCAAATGCAAACAGCCACATAGAGTCTCCATGTTGATGACCAAGACGCTGGAAAGAAAGGGTTAAAAATCACAGCGCAGGGATCTCTCAGCTGAGTGGTGCCTACCTGCGCTTTTCAGCTAAGGCGAGCAAAGTTCCTCCTCCCTTCCAACACCACATCACCGCTTCTGGTCTGATAACACTCACAAACCTGCCATCCTCCCAACCCCGGCAGCAGCAGGAACCCTCAGAGCACCAGGAACCGAGGGACAAGGAGGGGAGGTCCCAGATCAGCCACCTCCGGCAGACCCTTCCCGGGCCTGGCTCCTGCCCCTGATGCACTATTGCTGCATCTCATCCCACATCTGTCCTGGAGCTTCCCCAGGACAAGACTCGGTAGCTGCACCCATCTCCATTTCGGCTATAATTTGCTCTCACTCAGTGCACGATTGACCCTTGCAGGGCCAGGCATATACAAGCAAAAAGAGACGAGCACCTCAAAGAAACAACCCAAGACGAAATGGATTATTTCCCTGGCCACAGGGACTTTCCTTCCATTTCAAAAAAAGGCTTCAGGAAGAACAGATTGCTAAATTATTAGAAAGGGCTTGGCTGCAGCTGTATCACGGGTTATGTTCCAGGCTCTGGCAAATGGGTATTTGAAGTCTGTAAGCAGGCACGAGCTGCGTTGCTGGAGAGCAGAGCAATACCGAGTCGCTCCACTTGCAAACGCAGACACGGGGACAAGCGTGCCAAACGCAGCGATCTGAAAAGAGATTCACTTCGAATCAAGACCGAGCGAGCATTCGAATTTAAGGCGAGATGCAGTCAACACCATACACCAATCTGGGGGCTGTTTGACGTTATCACTGTAACGCAGGAAGGCCACGGCATAAATGCCTCCAAATTGCAGAGAGCTCAAACAGTCAAGAGCCATTTGGTCAGAAACGTGGTAACAAAACAACTGGCAATTATTTACCTCTGGCACAGATTAGAAATTAGGATTGCAAGATTAGAAACTAGGAGTACAAGAAGGATAAGGAACTGTTGGAGCGGGGCCAGAGGAGGGCTACTAAAATGATCCGAGGGGCTACTAAAATGCTGCGAGGGCTGGAGCCCCTCTGCTAGGAGGCCAGGCTGGGAGAGTTGGGGGTGTTCAGCCTGGAGAAGAGAAGGCTGCGGGCAGAGCTGAGTGCGGCCGGTCAGGGCTTCAAGGGGGCCCAGAGGGAAGGGGGGGACAAGCTTTTTAGCAGGGCCAGCTGGGACAGGACAAGGGGGGATGGCTTTAAACTAAACCAAGGTCAATTTAGACTGGATCTAAGGAAGAAATTCTTTACCATGAGGGTGGTGAAACCCTGGCAGGGGTTGCCCAGAGAGGGGATGGAAGCCCCATCCCTGGGACCATTCCAGGCCAGGTTGGCCGGGGCTGTGAGCAACCTGATGTGGTTCAAGGTGTCCCTGCTCCTGCAGGGGGGTTGGGCTGGGTGACCTCTGGGGGTCCCTTCCCACCCAAACCATTCTGTGATTCTATGATTATGAAATTATGGGGGGGTAGGGGTTAAGGGGGTGCTATTAACAGACCATCTCATTGCCTATCTGCCAATAAAACATTTGCTCAACATCAGCAACAGCGTTACAGGCTGCCACAGCTCCTCCTGACAGACAGCGAAGTTAAAAACCCAAGGGCACCCAGGTCCAGCGTGGAAGGTGCAGGAAACCCTCTTTTACCTACTACAAAGAAAACTACGCTTCACCGTTAGAGCCAATTGACTTGACAGATAATGCACAACAAACAGCATGGCTTGTCTAAACAAAAGTTGTATCGCTTTAATTATAATTACAGTATTACTGGTTCACTAATACAGGCATAATTAAGCAGTGTAAAGCTTCCTACACAGGAATTATCTGCACACAGCACCCATGAAAGCGTTATTTTGTTCTTGTTAGGAGACCCACTAGCTTAATATTTTATTAAAAAATAAAATAAAGCCTAGCCAAAGCAATTCCCAGGTGGACCCTGAGGTTTTAGGCCGTACTCCAAATTCCTCTGCCGCCCTAAAACTGAACCGTGTGTAACAGAGCTCCCCCCGTGAAAGGTGAGGTGTACCCGCTAAGAAAAATCCTCACTGCTGCAATAAGGAAAGCAAATTAATAATAATGATTTTTAAAGTATCCTTGGGTTTTATTTCGCTTTCTGTGCCATAGTGCTTTAGTTTTAGAATTTTAGCCATAACCTCCTTGAGGAAATAACTCTTACTTCCTCTGGACTCTTACTAATCGCTATTTTCACTCAGGATCTAAATTCAAAAGACAACGTCACCTTAATCCCAGGGCCCACAAGCAATCAAAGCCAGGAGTTCCTCCTGAGGGGAGGTGAGGAGGGAAGGCGTCCTGGCATCACCAGGGGTGCTTTGATTTCAGCGCCACGGCCACAATTCTTGATCTGCCAAGACGAGAGTTTTACCCGGGGCATTTATTCTTCCCGAAATTAAATCTGGAGCCTTGCTCAGAGCAGTGATCCCGTTGCATCCAGTTTCAGTGACTCTCGATCTCTCAAGTAATTTTTGGGAGGAGTGATCCCGTTGCATCCAGTTTCAGTGACTCTCTGATGGATCTCTCAAGTAATTTTTGGGAGATCGATACAAAAGTAATTGCAAAATCTCAAGAGAACTGACCTGCCCTCCAAAATGAAATACAAGTACACACCAGCTTCCCTCCCAGGTCACGGAGCCACGCTGTACTTCAACACGCCAACAGTCTGCTGCGCCAAAACTACGCTTCAATAGATCTGTACAGAGGGTGACTTCTCACCACGAATAGAAAAGCATTTCTTGGATTTCCGCCTCGAAATTAAAGCAGAGGATTACCGAGCAGACCGTACCTGCTTCTGCTCGCTCGCTCGTTTGTGGTATGACCTACAGGATTCAGCTTCAGCCTCCTAAACACAGACCGCAACTCCGCATGCAACCCCCTGCCCCGATTTATCTCCTTTTTAATGCAGCCCCATCAATCCGTTCTCCGAACCGTTTTTTTTTTTTGCCGCAGCTGTATCTAAATATGATTCTTTGGCAACTAAAGACAGGGGCTTTGTGTATCCCTGGCCAAGGATGTCTCCTGCTCGGCATACTAATGCCTTCGCGCGACGGCCTGGGAACCATCCAGAAGCCGCCTTGCCAAGCCCCAACCTCTATCCGCGGTTGCCTGTGGAGATCCCCTCAAGTGGGAAAGCACGAGATCAAACAGCTCCGCTACAGGCCTCTCAGATTTGAAGCCTTTTATCTGTGCCACGTTACGCCGAACCTGGTCTAAGCAGGCAGCTCTGTTTTCAAAGCCTTTACCGTTGAAGTCCTTAAATTTACCCCAGGATGGGAGCGGATATAAACCCAGCCTCCCCGACGATCTGCAGTTCCTCCGCCAGTGGCTGGCTGGAAACGATGAGGCAGAGACCGAGGCCAGCGCTTCCCAACACCCCCACAGCCTTCCCCTCACCTCCTGGACGCAGGAGGCGGGCAGCTGGCGCAAGAAGCAGAAGGGTTAGCCTTAGAGGTAAAAGCCACCGGCGTTTATGTTGGGCCAGACCGAAAAAAAAATAAAAAATAATAAAAAAAAAATTTTCGATGTCCTTTTGAGGCAGTAAACACGTGCAAAGTTTGGCAGGGGACCCGCTCAAGGTCACCGGGTGGATCGGCCGTTGTGTGGAGCAGAAGCCTGGCCCAGCACCCCCGGGTCAGGGCACAGGCCTGTGTCCCCC